CTTAGTTAAGGGCAGGAAACTGGAGCGGCCCGAGGCCTTGGGCCCTGGATGGCAAAGGGCGGCGGGGCGCCCTCTCTCCGCAGCTCCTTTTTATCGGCTTTTCCCAGCCTTTCCTCTTCTGCGGGAAGCAGGAACAGACTGTGGTAGTAAACAAGAAGAGCCAGGGCTGCAGCCCTCCTCTAAACTTGTCCTTTCCAGCCCGAAAGAGGCAGCTGGTACTTTAAGGAATTTAGAGGACGTTGGGTTTTATCCCGCCTTCTCCCTCCCACCAAGTCTCCCCACTTGTTGAAAGTGTTAACTTGGATTTCTAGCATAATATTGTCCATTTCTGATGCTTCCTCTCCTTTATTTTTTCCAAATTATTAATAGTTTGGAATTGTTTATTCTTTTAGTAAGTATTATTCAGCTTAATGATACAGTTTAAAGTGATAAGCAGGGCAGCCCTGCTATGAAATCCAGCCCCTTTTTAAACAAGGTTGCAATGCAAGGAGCTGGGAAAACAGCTTGTTCTCTCCAGGCCCATTTATTGGAGTGTCTGCACGTGCTTTTTCCTCCTCCTAATCCCCTTGTCCTTCCTATGAAATCTTAATAGGAATCGATACAACCTTTGGAACAAGCACATGGATTGCTAAGGTGGAGGAACAGTGCCTGTCTGGTTTTCATTTCAACTGGAGGATAACAGTTTTTTGGTTCTTATTTCAAAAAAAAAGTATCTTTCATTTGAATAAAAGGTGCTCATAGTTAATACCTTTGGGGGATCTTGAGCAATAGGTCCTCCACTTGAGGAATATACAAATTTATGCTGAATTAAACAATTATTTAATGTGAGTGAATAGTGAGAGCAACCATAGCCTTACCATTAAATAGTTTTTTAAAAAAGGCAACATAAACTAATTCTGTGGGTGCCAGCTCTCACAATTTATCACTGTCACGTTAGCTGTGTGTTCACAGTGATCTTGAGGCCAGTTCCCAAATGTTTTGGTTAATTTGTGTTTCTTGGCAGCCTTTGGGATGACTTCTGCGTTGCCTCCCCAGAAAAACATTCCCACGTGGTTTTCAGCCACTTACGAGTGAAAGGTGCTTTAGCTTCAGAACATTAATGCATCAGAAATATGCAGCATCATCTGTCATAAACAATCCATAATCAGGCTATTCCCGTTGTGTTACCAATGTATTCCGGCCATCAGAGTCATGATCACTTTGTACAAGCTAATTTAATCATTAAATCATATTGGTTTTTCCATTTTATAAGACTTGAATGAGGTTTAAACTGGTAGAAAGGGTGGTCCTTGCAAAGAGATGACAGATGGTCATTTTTTTAAAACTAGTTAATGTTCACGTATTTTTCCATCAAATTCACTAAGCCTCTGTATTCATGGAGACTTACCACAGGTTTTAATAGCTTATTATAAAACTCGTGACTTGCTTCTCTCTCAAAACTTGCATAGGTCTGATGTGTTTTTTGCTGCCATTGTGGTTCTCTCTTTACGTTTTTCTCTTTTTCCTTTGATTTAGGTTTCCATTACCCTTTTGAAAAGATGGGAAATGCAGAAAGCAACACCTATCGGAACTACCTTTCCAGATTTATTCCTGAGGAGCAGGCTGACATCGATGGGGTGTTTGATACCTTGTCCGGATCAAGTGGCACAGCAGGAGAGAAAAATGGAAAAGCTATGAAAAAAACTGTGACTCTGACAGCACTACAGGCAAGAAAATCTATTGCATATGTAATGTAGTGTATAGAGCCTAATTCCAAAAAGGAATGAGAGATGTGCCAGTAGATGCTTCTGTGGAGTTGTTTGTTGCAGTTGAATAGCTAATAATATCTATTTTTGCCTGATGTTTTAAGGTGAATAATAGCTATTGAATTCAAATTAATATCTCTCTTAAATTGCAAAAACGAAAATATCTTTACAGAAACTAGAAAATAGAGTGGTCTTCCCCCGCGAAGTCCCTAGTATGTGATTGTTTACAGGTTTTCTTGCAAAGGTGTCACAAATTCCATTTGTATTTGATTGTATTTTTCTTGGTTGCATCCCTGTTTTTAGTCTTTTCACCTGTATCAGAAGGAGAGAATTCATTTTACTTGATTAAGTGTCAGCTCCCCGTTTATTTAATTAACATATATTATGCTCTCTGATTAACTTTGCATTCATTTTCTAATCAAGAAAGAAGAAAATGATTCATTGTAATGTTTGAAATCTTCAGTTAGACCAGAATCAAAGTGACCAAATGAATGCAATATTAAAAGTGATTTTTATATACACTGCACAATTAAATTTAAACTCCTTGAAAGAGGCAGGAAGTTTTAGGGCACTATTACATTTGCCTAGAGCAAGCATTCGCCTTGCTCCAGCCTAGCTTTTTGTGAGCTCTCCCAGTTTGGAAACAGCTGCTGTCCAGCCCTCCAGTCCTAACAGCTCTACAACTGTGAACTTCTGCTCAGTTGGGACCTGGAATAACTTCTCTTTCAAGCTTCGCCCCTAGCTTGAAGTGACACTTGATGAACCTTTTCCTTTTCCCCTCCTGCCCTTTTGCTTTGCCTACTTAAACGAGAATCTGTTAAAAGACTATTTGTATGTGCCTAATTCCTTAGCCCAGTATTCCAATGAAGCACCTGCGTAGTCTGTGTCGGTGCTCATGCCTGAGCTAGGTGCCTGGGTGATGGATTTAATCCAGCAACAATCCAATAGCAAGGGCACCATTCCCGAGCTCTGCTTGGGCTCTCACTTCCCGACAGGGAAGCTGCCTGGCTTCTGGAGCGGAGTGTGGATGCATTGCATGGCCTGGGCAGCAGGCAAAGCAGGAATCTCTGGGTACATACTCCCTTGAAGCCATTTGAGATAAAGATTTTAAAATGCCAGAGGGGTGAGTTTGTTAGATGCTTGTTAAATCCTCCCCTTTTGCAGTCCTTCCCTCCCCACACTGAATCTATTCCCTGGAATAGCACTGAGCACAACAGGACAGTGCAGCAAAGCTGGCAGAGGGGAAAACACAGGGAGCAGGCAGGTAATACTGCAGAGTGAATCGAAAGGCCCTGACATGCAGTGCACATAATGATTTTCCCTGCTGCTTGTCTCACTTCAGGCTCGGTAGCACTTTTGGAAAGCCTCCTGAAGGCCGCTGTGCCCCGGGGCAGCCCCTCTCAGCACAGAGCACTCTGGTCTCCGCGGCTGCCAATTCTGCTCCTGCTGGATCAATCGAATCAATGGGAGTTTTGCCACTGACGTCAACCGAAGCAGCCAGGGGTGGGCGTATTGGATCACACCCCCTGTGCACAGCAGTGACCATCAGCGTGGGACAGGGACAGCCCTGGTGGCTTCGGGAGGAGGGAAGGGAACCAGTCGTGGGTTGGTGATAGCAGCCCCATTGAACAGAGAGCTTTTGTGCAGGTGGAGCTCCAGGGATGTGGACCTCTGTGTATGAGTGAGGGGAAGTATTTAACACTATACTCAGTCCTCTGCACAGGGAGGGCACTACATAATCATATCCTAGTGCTCGGGTGTGTTTCGAGTGTGTTATTTTTAAACACTGCAATTATGTTGAACGCTCTGAAAGTTTCCTGAATAAAGAACCCAATCTTCCCCACGGTGCTGTGGTGAATGGTGATGTATACAAGTCAGACTGCAGTTCAGAGGGCCAGTCATGCAACTTGGATGAAGAACCTTTGATTTCAACTGTCGTATATAAGTCAGGTGACTTAAATTCAGTTTGATGCTTGAATTGGATGTTGCTATGCAGTGAGAAACTTTTCAAAATTGTTTCTACATGTGCATTCATGTATATGAGGCTAAAACCAGCCTCATGAAAGCTTTACTTTCTATTTGTTTTTTTTTTTTTAAATCTGTTAGTTCCACTACCAAAAGCAGAGTTATTATCAGTGTAACTTAATATTAAATCTTGGACTGCCAGAGTTGTAAACCTTTGCAACAGTCATCATGTAGAAATCATCTGCTAGTATCCTGTTAATGCTTTACAGGTTTCTTTTTATAGTTCAGGGCATTTCTAGATTAACTGTGCCAATTTAAATCACTAAATTGCATTAAAAGGGAGATACTATAAATATTTGATGCTTTTTTTTCCTCCTGGAAAACCCTTCCTTTAACAAAAGTGTGTTTCTGCTGGTAAGTATTTGGTGCATAAGCAGTATATTTTTGCAAAGATTAGCTGGAATATATTAGCTGTTCTTCATTTTTAAAACGTGTTCTTTGCTATTTTTCTACTGCTAGGCCTATATGCAGGAACCACTGCCAGAGCAAATGACCATGAGGTTGTACGACGGAATGAAAAGTGTTGACCTGACTGGGAAGTCATCTGCACCAAGGGAGCAGATTGCCAAGGAGCAGTTTGTGGTTTTTATGTCAAACCTCTTAAAAGGGAATGCAGATGAGAAGATTGCCATAATAATGAGCATGATCTCCAAGACGGAAGGGCCTGTGAAGGGCAAACAAATCCAAGAGGTAAAGAAGCAGCTAAATGTGTAAATGTGGTCCAGTGAAAGGGGCTATAGGCAGCAGGGGCTGTGGGCAGCTCATTTGAAGGTGGTCCTTGGACTATGAAATTCGGAATAGGAATTTCTGGTGTGCTTCTCCACCTCTCTGCCTCTGACTTGCTGATCTTGGACGGTGTAAGCAGATCAGGTTGGATAGGATGACCATTTTCAGGCATTTTCCATGTTGATCTGCCTGCTTTGAGGATCAGGATCTTGAATTTGGGGATCCCACTGTTGTCTTCATCTGAGGAGTCACAAGCACCCTCTGAAAGGTGCAGGGAATGGCCAGAGTTCAGAGCTAGCAAAGGTTACGGTAGCTCATCCCAGCATTAGAGCTATTTAAGTTGGGCAACTGTTACAGGGTTAAGTGCAGTCCTCTGTCACCTCACCACTCTTCCTGCTGTGGAATCACTGGGGGTGACGTGGTCCCACAGGCACAGACTAGACCTGTGAATGAAACGTAGTTTGCAAGGTGGGGATGTGGGGTCTCACAAAACATGAATTCACTGCTGGCTCCTATCATTGCAAAATTTACCCCTCCACCCATCGCTGTATTCTACAGAGATGCTTTGTCAAGTAACATTTGAAAAGTGTCTTAGAAAAGGGTGCGTTTTCAAAATTTATGACACTAGAATAGCACTTATGATCTTTCCAAGTCTTTGTAAGAAGAGGTTTCTCTCACTGGGATTACAGTATATGTACTGCTTATCTCTATTCCCAGGAAGTATGTGGTGGGCTTTTGTAGCTCAGCCATTTTATTGAAAAAAAAAATCCTAATAGTAATGTTTTAACCTTTTAAGTTCACAGAGCAGCTGATCACATCTCTAGTCCATGTACTGAATTACAGGAAGGAACTGAAAGGTTGGAATCTGGAGAATACTAGAGATTATGCAAGTGGAGTCAAGGCTTTGGCATCTCAGCTGCTCTCAGAGTTGAAGCTTGCAGGTAAGCGGTGCTGGTGTACTGTGTGTCCCAGAATGGCACAGAGCTTGCAGGATGGCTCGTCTCACAATGATTATGCTCTTTGGGTCATATCTGCCTTGCATGTAAATGGTGAGATCAGTATTTAAAACCTGGTGGCTTGAGAGTGATTTAGGAATTTCAGTTATTTTTACCTTTGCAGGTTCCTTACCTAAATTCCTTTGAAAAAAACAGTTTAAATGGCCATGCAAAGCTCTTTGTCAGGGAACTTTGGCTTACTTTGTGCTGTTGTGATAATAGATTTCACCATCTTGCAAAGAAAATCTCATATAATTAGGAGTTCATGTGTTTTGGACAATGGACAGTACTTGGGCCAGCTAGTTAATGTTCCCACGTGTCTTATTATTTAGATGGGAAGAAACCTGTGGGCCATGAGCTGCTGGAGGCCACTTTTGATCAAAGCATCATTGAGGACTGGGTGTACCGAGTTCCACAGATCTCAACTTTCCTCAGTGTTGTTATCAGACAAGGCTTCCAGGTCTTGCATTCAGTCTCTGACCAAGCCAACGACATAGTCAACTTGGTTCCAGGCTGCAAAGGCTTCAAAGGAAGGGGACTTACCAGTCTCTTGGACATCCCATCCATCATATACCTCAACTCCCATCTGCCTGCAGAGTTGCAACATAAGTGGCAACTTATATTTTCTTCTAGAGTTCATGGTGAAAGCTTCTCACAATTATGTGCCCATATTGTGAACAAAGGTTCCTGCATAATGATCCTAAAGGACTCGGATGGGTTTATCTTCGGTGGATTTGCATCTCAGTCCTGGGAGGTGAAGCCCCAGTTTCAAGGCAAGACTCGTTTTAATGCTCTTTTGCTGATATCTCATGGTTTGATGAACATTGTTTCTTCTATGCATCTACAGAAATCCGGTGTTTAATGGATACATAATGGATTATTGTATATAACATGAATCTCATTCCCTCTAATTTAGGAGTATTTTCTTACAGAAAAAAAATAACATTTGTTTTGCAAGCATGTAAAACACCTGCCACATTATTCTAAAACATGTTACTTAAGAATGTTTTTCTGCTATTTGGTAAGAAGTTTAAGATTACAGGACTTACTGATCATGGAACAAATTCTCTTTTAAGTGAAAGCCATCAACCCCTGGGGTTGCATGGGTGAAAATGAAGGAAATAGAGCAGAGCAGATGAATTAGTGTTTAATTAACATGTCCAGCAGATGGCAATCTTCTATCTCAGAAAACAGCCAAACACTGGGCTAGGCCTCCTGGACTCTCCTTGCACCTTTTGTGCACTTCTGCCTTTCCTACTGTTCTAAAATTCTGTAGCAAAAGGTTCCTTTGGACAAACTGAGCTTTTTGTTCTCTTGCAAACTTAAAGAAGAGGACTCTGCTCTCTTTTAATTCTCTGGAATGAACTCTTATGCTTGTTGTCAGGAAGAAAAAAATAATTGGCTCTGAATATCAAATCTGTCTTGCTGAGAAACCTCACTTTGAGAGGACTCTTCTAACTCTCTGGAAAGAACTCATGCTTGTTGTCAGGAAGAAAAAATAATTGGCTCTAAATATCAATCTGTCTTGCTGAGAAACCTCACTTTTGATAAATAAAAACTCATCAGTTCTTACACTTGATCAATATTTGATGATTATTGCTTCACTCAGTGTAGTATTCCATTATGTTAACTGGACAACATTTTATTTTTTTTACTGATAGGGTATTTATTTACCCGTAAGGTCAGTACTGTACTGTTGCACAGTACAGGATGATCATGCCACAGGCCACTCTGAATATAAAACTGGGCGTAATGAAAACTGCTCTCTCAATCACTGAGCCCAAACGTCTGCATGTCTCTAGTGAGAGCAGAGGGAGTCCAGACTCTTATCTTATATCCTATAAGCAGTGACATGGTGCAAGCCTGTGAGAGCTGCCCCCTCACACAGCCCTGCAGTGTCCCCGTCACGCCTCTGCCCTCGGTCACAGCCGTAGAATGCACCGATCTGTGGGGCCCTGCACAGAGTTACCCGAGAACAAACAACAGGGCTAGATCTTGGCTGGGCATCAGCACTGCCTTCCAGAGCTTGCACGTGCTGCCTTTGATTTATCCACCTCTGTTTCTGCAAGGGTTTTTTTCCTCTCCTATTTGTAGTGCAGTTACTGCTGGACCATTGTCTGACCTCAGGCTCTTTTTCTGTTTGCAGGTGACAACAAATGCTTTCTGTTTTCTGTTTTTCCCTCTCTTGCTGTGTACACATGCACTGGATACAATGACCACTACATGTATTTGAACCATGGCAAACAAACAATGCCAAATGGACTTGTAAGTACTAAGAAGTGACAGTTTGGAAATTGGATTCATGGAGATATCTGAGCGTGTCCCATGTTTTTGCTTCTGCTGTTTTGAGCGGATTTATTTCACCTGTAATTTTCAGAAAAAAAAATCTTGCTTTCTCTCTACTATTTGTGTCGCTCTCTTACTAGGAGTTTATTTATACATTTTTGCCTTAAAGTGTCTTCCATGAGCATAACATGTGAACTATGGATTGTTATGCAGACCTGCTTACAGTACTAAGAGAGAGTTTTTATTTTAATAGTTGATATTTACACTGAAGTAGTGCATCAGTTAAGACAGAATATGTTTGTATCTGAGCCAAGCAGTTGGGCTCTGTGCAGGTTAGGTCTATGGAGATTCTGGGAATATTTTTTTCTTCCAAGTATTTACCCATCGGCTGTTCTTGCTGCCACACTGAAAGATTTATAAAATATGGAAGTCAGAGGAATGTAGTGTATGAGAGCTGTACATAGTTCACTGCTGTTGTGTGATTTCAGTGGCAGAAGTTCCCCATGCTGAAATCCCCCCATGAGCTTTCCAGAAGTGGAGGATTTTCTACACAACCACAGCACACCATGGGTTCTGAACCACTTTGCAGGATTACATGCTCATAGCTCTGGGACTTGCAGCAATATAAAATAAATTTGCTCTAAAAGTAAAGTATCTTAAACTACCTTCCCCTTGAATGTAGATACTTTTCCTATGCCAAAGAGTGGCAGCTAAGCCCAGTACCCCCACCTCATTTAAAATGGGACTGTTAGTCAATAAACAAAAGCCAGACAGCTAAATTTTTGGAACAAGATACAGCTGAAGTGCTTGTTCTCTGCTCTCGTTCACAGGGTATGGGTGGACAACATGATTACTTCGGGCTCTGGATAGACAGCGACTATGGGAAAGGACACAGCAAAGCAAAACCTCGGTGCACCACCTACAACAGTCCTCAGCTGTCAGCCAAAGAGCATTTTACACTGGATGCAATGGAAGTTTGGGCAGTGGGAGATATCCCAGAAAGTGCCGTGGTAGGTGGCAGAAATTGAAACTTGTGAAATTGTCTCCTGCTGGAATGGGAGATGTGAATCGAAAATTCACAATGGCAATTTTCTCATTAAGCATTGTCATTGTAATGAATATATCTATAAATCTATGTTGTCTATTCAAATGACCCTTTGATGCCATATAGTTTGTAGCAAGAAAATGGCAAAACAGTAATGGCATTAATGAAGTTGCCAGCATGAAAGAACATCAGTAACTGCGGGAGAACATAGTGAGAAGAGCAACATTTTTTCTGAAATTCCAAAGGCCTGTCAGACCTTGAGGAGTGGTCTCTGAGAGAAGTCTCCTTGGAGTTGTTCAGTAAAACCGTTAGATGTACAATCAAGTATTAGAAACTAAAGTAAAGCCTAAAGTCTGGCTTGTTCTTGGGCATGAGTAGGAGACCTCTTTCCAGTCTCCTCTGTCCCTGCAATTTATTCTCCTGTTAAACTGTCTGCTCTGCACCAGTGATTTTTCTTTTTCTTTTCATACCAAATTATTGTGTTTTCTCGAGTCAGTGGACACACAGCTGTAAATAGAAACAGAGCTAATTGTTTACCAAAGTGACTGAACTCGAATCTCTTCAGAAGAAGCACTTCACATCTGTACTTGAAAGTGAGGTCAGATTAACCAGTGTGTTCTGGCTGACTAAACATGAAATATTCCGCTGTCCCCTTAGGAAGACTGTCTGCCTGGTGTTACTGAGGTGATAACATCACTGGATGGATCCCTATGAATCTAAATGCCTGCTTGGGAAGTAGGAATATTCCTAGTGACAAGCTTGCAAACCATGATACTTGTAGGCTTTTGAGTATGACTGTTGCTTGTGACTTGCTGAACATTTGTAATTACATTTAACCTGACTAGATTTTATTTTGTTTCATTCTTAAGGTGAAAAGTAAGAGCATCCTGGATGTAGATCCTGAGGCTCAAGTGTTACTGGAAATGATTGGGAGATCTCGGCAGAGTGAAGGTTTACGGGAACCCGTTGAAGATGATGATAACTGAAGGAGTCACAGCATCTTGAGGAACTTTTTTTGACTCCTGAATGTTAAATGTTCCTTGGACAGAATATTTTTCCTCGTATGTTTTCACATCTACTTAGGTATCTAGGATTAAGTTTAAGTCCAGGATTTACAAAATATTTAGATACAAAAAAATAACCTGCTTGAAGGGTTTTATTTGGGAGGATAGAAGAAAATAGCTAGACACCTGCAAGTTCTAGCTGAATGTGAATTCACTAGCGTTCCTGATAGATCCTCTCCATATAGATAATTAAAAACAGGCATCAAATATTGACAAAACTGCTTGTTGGCCTAGAGTTTAATACATGTTTATATAAAGACTGGCCAAAACAGTGATTAAACTTCTCATACCTTAATGAAAGCATTTATGTGCACGTGATGGAATTGGTCAGTGAGGCTTGCAGGTTGTTAGCGTGTCTGACATTTGTGCATACAGAACAGTCCAAGGGATGCCATATAAAGAGTGCTGTTAGTTTGCATTGCTCTACTTAAAGTTGTAAATTTTGGAGTTCCTAGGTGTGATTTTAATAAGGTGACACCATATAGGCTGTGAGAGGTACAGAATACTAAATATACAGCATCGACCTTTATAATAATACACGGCATTTCTGTGAATGTCACTTAATGTTTTTTTTTCTGCAGAAATCAGCCCATTGCCTTTTTAACTTACTAGAATAGAGCTATGAAAGTTATTCAGTCATATTAAGAACACACCACCACTGTGGTCCTTGAACAAGCGTATTCCAGCAGGATAACTTTTAGGCAGGATAACTCCTAGGCAGGATAACTTTTAGTAGCCTCACTGTAAAAAGGAACAGGTCGGAAACACCTGTAGTTAGTTGGGAATATCTGCAGAGAACCTGGAAAAAACAGAGTTGTGTGTTTAATTTGTTTAATGAATGTTGCTGCACACTTTATTGCCACAGAATTAATGATCACTGTGTTATTGATCACTGTATTATGAATAGCTGCAATCTGAAAATTAACTAGTGGGTTGGGGTTTTTGTTCCTGTTCTGTTACTGTCTGTTCTCCATTCAGGGTCAAGTTGCATAGAGTCTCTTATGCTCAGGACTTTTTCTACTTAAACCCATTCACATCTATCACTAATTACTGGTTTGACATTTCTATTTCTCTGTGTGATTAATTTGTCAAAAAACCCTCTAATTTCTGCCAGGGATTGTCATTTCCACCTTACCGAATTGTGTTGGACTTAGAGGAGAAAAAAACCACTATGTTTATTCATGCTATTAGTCTGCAAGACTATCAGTCTTTCTCCTAAGGAAAAGGACTGTATCGTAATGTCTTTTTTGTGCTAGAGTTTGTCATAGAAAAGGTCTGAATTCTATGAAGCTTAGTGCAAGAAAGCACAGAAGTGTATACAGTAGACACAGTGTATATAGTCATTTATTGTGATTTCTGACCCTGGGGCTTTCACTCCCAATGCTATCCTACTGCACTTCCTTATTTGCACTCTTTTTTTACTTTTCCTTTCCTCCTCTGGTGCTTTTTCACAGAAAACTAGATTTAATCCTTTGAAATAATCTGCACTTGTGCCTTAAATTAGACCCCACTTTTTTTTTTTTTTTTAAATGTATTTACCCTTGAGAGGGGACATGAAGAAAACACTACAGCCCCACATCCTGGAAGTCACCTGTGCATTTTTTATTATCTAAGCTAATGGTCAGGGCATCTGAATTACATGTTCTAGAACAGAGTATGCTGTGAAAGGCTCAAGGTAATCTCCTTGTATATATGGTGTCTGCGTGAACAAAGCAGATGGATTGTCCTGCATGTTACAAAATGTGGAAGCTGAGTGTTAAAACAATCCTTAATTAAAATTGATCTTATATAATTGTTTTCTCCTGTGTTTATTCTAAAAACTCTTTTCAATGATATGTGAGAGAAACTTCTATAGGAAACAAATAAGTGCATGATGCTTCCCATAAGTGAGATGATTTTTTTGATGTATTTTCACCTCTGTAGGTGTTGTTGGTGATAAGCTGACGATAGGAGTCTCATACACAACCTTAAGGTGAGGGTAGTAGGCTGAGACCTCCGCGCTGCTCCTGCTCCTCCTATGGCTGCGGCAGCTCGTGACAGGTCTCAGCTGAGGGCTGAGCTCTCCCTGCTTCTTTTGCCATGGCCCCCACTTTGCCTGAGCATCTTGCTGAATCCAGGCTAGTTTTCCAGGAATCTAGAAACACTACGAATTGCCCATAGCGAAAGAACTCCTCATAAAAGCCTTTCTTTTTTTTTCTTCGTATTTAAAAACAAGGAAAAGATTTAAATCAAGAGTCTCTCTGAAATAATTCTCTAACACTTTAAAACATAGATTTTTATTAATAAAAATCATTGTGATAAAATAAATAAAATTTTAGTTTATGCACAGTAGATTTTTTTTTTCTGTACAAGACACTGTTGTTTTGTCTGGTGCTCTCCCTCCATTCTTGACATTGAGATCAGTGTGTAATAAAAATATACGTGATTTTGCTTTAACCAGGAGCAGCTGCATTGGTCGCAGAGAGCGGAGCAGGAGCAGCCGAGGGAGCAGGGGGGACGGTCGGACAAATTCCCGGAGCGGCTCCGGGAAGGAGGCACCTCCCGGTGCCATCCCCCGCAGGGACCCGCGGCCTCGTGCTCAGCAGGGACGGCCCTTCGTGCACTCCGGGCGGCAGCAACTTCTTTCCCCGAGTTTGACGAGCTCAGACACGAGGAAAACCGAGGAAGCCAGGCCCATGAGGAAGAGCAGGTCTGGCAGGGAGAAACAGCGGAGCAGTGGGACCGGGAGCAGCAACACGGGAGCAGGGCGCTGTCATGCCGAGCAAGAAGGGCCGGGTGAGGCCCTTCCTGCTGCAGGTGTTTGCACGGGTGCAAGGGCAGAGCTGCACAACCTGCCCGGGCTTCTGCAAGCTCCCAAGCTGGAGCAGGGCTCGGCAGCGTGTGCCCAAACAGCCTGCCCGAGGGCTGGGGACGTCCCCGTGAGTCACCTGGGCCCGCTGAGCCCTGCCTCTAACAGCACAGACACCCCTGGACTGTGGCAGGGGCTGCCTACAGCGGCTGTGCTGGCAAAACACATTGTATTTCAACAAGGAAACATTTACCCACTATTTCGAAACAGAGGAACTGTGTAATCATCCTAGGCAGCTTCCTTTACAGTAAATCTTGCCATGTCTGCATTTACATTCATTTATGTGCAATGATTCACATCATTAAATATTAACATTTGCGTATAGCTATATGCATATTTCTTTCACCAGAGTTCTCCTGGGAGCTATCATGGAACAACGGGGCAAATCTGAGCTGCTTTGTAAAGATTTTTAAAGAAAAAAAAAAAAGCATTACTTATTTTGTAACTTACCTAACGCTCCTAAATTCTCTGTCTGGAAGATCTTTTGTAATGGAGGGATGTATATAACAGCCAGCTGTCCCAAAAATGACCCAAGCACAGAGTACAAGAACATGCGGTTTCGAAAAAAGCCTATTTCGGATATCAGCTTTGTCTAGAGAGGGGAGAAAAGAAACGTGGTATTGCCCAGTCTCCTCATGGTACTTGAATGTCAAGCTGTTTCTTTGCAGATAAAATCTATTGCTTTTTGGCAAATTGCAGTTACATGAATGCTAACTCAGAGCTGGGTACTGTTGAAAGAGGAGTTGCAGTTGAACTGTGATGGTCAGTTTTATTTTAAAAGATAAAAAGATAAAAATTGTGCTGCTTCAAATGACATCAAAAATCCTCTTATTAGGCAAGACATTAACACAACTAGTGTTTATGTTAGTACACTGAGACAAAGTAATTGCTGCTGACAGAGCAGTCATTCATCTTACCTGAGAGCGGCACGTCAGGGCGTTGAAGAGGTCAAAAAACACAAAACAGGTAAAAGTCATGGTGGTGGTTCGGGGAGTTATGCCACTTTTTGGATTCTGAAAACAGATGTGAAAATAGAGGTGCTATTTAAGAGTCTGCTTACAAAAATGTCAATGCAATACGTGAAATAAATATTCTCTTTAAGGACTGCACTCAACTTGAAGTCTAGGAAAGCAAATGAATAAATCCAGCTCTAGCTGCTGTGGCAACGTTCATTTCCCACTGCTAACGGGTGAGTTTACAATCTTATCAACAGAGTTTTAAATTCTTAGCATGGAATTTGACCAGAGAGTCCTAAAATGTATTGATGACTTATACAAACCAGTGTGTACAAAACACAGCGTTGTGCCAGAGGAATACTTCATGAACATCATAAATAGTCAAGTATATTAGCTGACTCAATAGGAGGATTTTTCACCAGAAGCCTGGCTTTTCCCAGAGCATCAATTACAGAGCTGCAAGAGCAGTAATCCTGGGCCAGGATTCATGTTCAAATTACAGTATTCTCAGTGTGATCATTAATATGAAGACTGTAATTAATCTGCAACGTGTTACTTCTTTCAGAGGTATAATGTTGATGTGTGGTTTATCAAAGAGAAAAAGTAATTTAATTCAGAATATTCTTAGCTGATACAGTATTAACTGTCTTTACTAACAGTAAATCATTGTGCTGATGTACCTTGCAGTGACAAGTACCGTGAAGCCTTGTCATGATATTAAGGAATGGTTTTCCCGTTCTGGAGGGGAAGCTCCGACCCGGCGAAGGCCAAGGCAGCACAGGAAGGCAGCAGCAGAGCAGGAGCTGACCCTGCTCTCCTAGTCCTTCCTCCTCAAGGGCCACACGTGCTGCAGGGACTGCCCTTCGCTTCGTTCCCTGCCTCGGTGACGAGGGGACGCGACTGCAGGCTTTGCTCACCTCCTTCCAGAACACGAAGAGGGTGCCGCTGATGATGATTAGAGCCGACATGAAGATTTTCAGGATCAACGATCTGCTGAGGATGGTGTCCGTGATGCAGCGAGGGGGCTGTTTGATGGTGTCCTTGTCAACAGGTTCAACTCCCAAACTGCCTCAGATAGAAGCAGAGCAGCATGTTTAGTTACCACGGATCATCCCCAAACGGTACTGCTGATGAGAGAGAACGGATCTGGGGGATGAAATCCTTTAAGACAAAGCATGAGAGCTACCAGTGTTGTGGCAGGACTACAAATGGCCCAAATACATCCAGGGACCTGTATAAGCATCTGTTTTTATGTAACAAACTCCTGAAATGGCCTATTAGGCTACTATATCCCAGCCCAGAGGGAGAGCTGGTTCTAAGGTTATGGCCAACACCCCTTCCAAAATGGAACAGTTCTACACAGCAGGTGAATGAAGTCCTAATGTCTTGTGGTTTTGGAGAGAAAGGAGAGAGAAGAGCGATTTGTCCCATCTAACCACCAAATGATTGGTTCTTAGAGCAGAAATCATAGGAGCTTCTGTTCCAAAGCCACATTCAGACTTCTTAAAAATCAATGGGTTCATCAAGTCTATTTCGTTCATTTGAGTCTTGCATACCTCTGGGCTGGAGGCCCATCCATGATGATGTTAATCCATAAAATCTGCATAGCATTGAGTGGATTTGGTAGATTGAGCACCGTAGACAGAGTGATGAGGCTCAAAGCTGAAATGCTCCTGCAATCACAGCAGAGGGTTATTCTGGAGGGCCTCACCCAAAAGGAGCTTCAACCCAAACCTGAGCAACCACAAACTCACGTGCTAAGCTGGAACCGCACAAAGTTTTTTATGTTGTAAAATATTCCTTTTCCCTCTTCTATTGCATTCCTGTAAGGCAGAGGAAAAATAAACAAACAACTAGCATCCACACCATTTTAAATTGTGCTTCCTGTGAAACTCAAAGACTATTTTTTGTCTTTTCCAGTATTTTTTTTCCGCTGCAATTCAGAGCCCACCTTAGGACAGGGACACCAGTGCAGCTTCTTAGTTAAATGACTGATAGCTAAAACAGTGGTAGACCTGCAAACGCTGGTTCTTGAAGCCAGGTTTTGGTTCATCAAGCAGGCATGCGACCTGCTTCTATCTTTACTCTGCCCACTGTGTCTGTTTGTTATGAACCAACAGAGCGTTGCAAATTACACATCTTTCTTCTGAGTTTCCTGGATACAGAACAAGCTATGAACTACCAAGACTTCGAGGTGCTTTCAGATCCCTAAGGTCTACTATAAAAATGAGAAACCAGGGTATTTTCAGCATAGCCACATAACAAACTTATTGCAATAGAAAGCAAGAGGGTAGCTGAAGTAAGAAAGTGGCTGAGGGAGGAAGTATCTGAACCTACATCACTGTGGAGAAGTCATCGTCCACGAGGATCATGTTGGCAGCCTCTTTGCTGACGTCTGTGCCTGCTTGTCCCATTGCAATCCCAATATCAGCGGATTTAAGGGCCACAGCATCATTGACACCATCGCCTGTCATCGACACGATTGCCCCAGCCCTTTGCAAAGCCTGTAGGGGTGGAGAGGTGGGAGGCTGAAGCCAGAAGACAAATAAGCAAACCCTTTTGGCAATGCTAGGATTTGCACTTAACTAGCAAAGAACAGAAGGCTGAGACTATGCAACAACTTTAAGAGTCAAATGGACTTTAGCAGCTCACAAGTCTATGAACAATACGGAGCACAGGAAAAAAAAAATCTCAAAGGGACTGAAAATTAAGAGATTTTCAGGAGTATTCAGTATCTTAACTCCAGACCTGCCCTGCAAGAGAAACACTAGTGACTGGTGCACCTAGGAGCAGTGCTCTAGCTTGGGTTTTATTGCCCTGTGGTTTGAATCAACCTTTTCTTGGAAAGCCAGGAGGTGTCCTGGGAACTCCTGGATCCCCCTCACGCCTTGGCAGTGTGAAGCATGCAATGCTGTTGAGAGGCTCTCAGTACCTTTATGATTTTCAGTTTGTGCTTTGGGCTTGTTCTGAAGAAGATGGAAACCTGCATACCAAAGAGAAAGTTACAATCATGGGTTAGATGGATGCTGCTGGAGATGGAACCGGTCCATATTATTGTAATCAAAAAAGCATTACATTCTTGACAGTGGCTGTCAGCTCTGACTCTGCCAGTTGTTCCAGCTCTTCCCCAGACATGGCTTTCAGCTTCCCGTTGCAGAGACCAATATTCTGTCCTGCAAAGGAGAGCCCAGAATGACATCTGGCTTCAGCTCAGAGAACATCTACATTCCATTCAACAGCAAAATAAAACGTCAGTTAATGAGACAGAGATTTAAAGCCTATACTGCACATACGAAAAGAACAATAAAGATGATTAATAAGCAAATGCCGCTGGACATATGGAATAGAGATTTGTAGGAGTAAAGCTAATTTTGGTACCTATAGCCGTGGCAGTTTCCAGAGCGTCTCCAGTTATCATCTTCACTGATACACCAGACTCAAAAAGGGCTTGAACAGCTTCTCTCACTCCAGCCCTCGGGGGATCAATTATTCCAACCAGACCCAAAAATGTGAGTCTGCCCAGTTCTGGACCTGAAGCCAAAGCAAGTACTAGAAAAAGAGAGAAAAAAAATAGTAAGAAGGCTGCATTATTTATTATTTATTAAAAAACATTAAAATGAGCATTTAGAAGATCCTAAGTTTTCAGCTGGAGAAGTGATTAAACCAGATATTCCAGTCTTGCACAGATACGAAAATTTGCACCACTTCAAAGACACGAGTCTAGCTGGAATCAATGCACTTCTGCTTCACATTCATTGCTCTTAGGATTTGTGTCTGTCTTGTTTAAATTTATCTACCGAGTCCTGCCTGAATAAAGGGAGGTTAAACAGGGGCAGTGCAATGTTAGGGCAGACATGAATAGACGACTGTTCAACAATAAGGTCTCTGCAGAGACATTTTGCATCTAACAAAGTGCAGTGTAGCTCCAGTTAAACTAGTGCCATCAGGTCACCAACACTCTGAACGTTTTGTTCCCGTTCCTGGTGCCTAACCGTATCCTTCAGCGGCCGAAATAACTCGGGGATATTTTGCCAGGGGTTCGTGTCCATGTTGCTTTGATGACTGGAGCAGCAGCTACCTGAGCTAATTGCTTCTCTTCAGAGCAGCAATTTGCCCTTCACAGCAGCAGATAACTCTGATACTGCCAGGCAAAGGTCACGCATGAGCTACTAACCGCAAGACACAGGCCTGGAGAATATATATATTAATGATACCTTCTTCCAGAGCGTGCTGCCAAGAGTTGTTCTCACCCACTTATACCCTGGGAATGGGCACAAGAGAAAGTCTCTTTATTATGGTGTGGAAAGTCTTGAGGTGCTTTTGAAATGATGTTACTAGTGATGGAGGAAGCAGGATGCGTGTGAGAACTTCAGTGGGTTGTGTGCTGACATGCAGGCAGCAGCAAAGATCATCGGATTTGGTCCAGAATTGAACCAAACGGCAAATAAAAAAATATCAGTGCCCAAACCCAAGGCAGGACAGCAAATTATAGAATCACTAGGGTTGGAAAAGACCTTCAAGATCACCAAGTCCAACTGTAAATCCATCACCACCATTCTTGCTAAACCTCAATCTGCCTTCAGTTTCCCACATGTGCTGCTTTCGTTCGGAGCCCTCTGGAGCTGAGAACACCCTGACCAGATTGTTCTCCTGCTTGACAGTCTATCAACAGTTTTCATAACAAAACAGAGAAGAAAATGAACACGGGGATGGCAAGGGAGGAGGAGAAGGCAGCAGCGTGCACACAGCCGTACACCACCTGCACCACCAAGTGCAGAGCTGAGACCCAACGGAGCTGGAAAACCCGGAGGCAGGAGAAGCTGCAGGCTCAGGGGTCTAGACCATGGACACTGACCCCGGAGACCCGAGGATCCCATTCGTTTCTCTTCCTGCTGGTAGGAGGCTTTCTGCTGCGGCGTGAGCGAGAGGGAAAGGCCCCCGCTGTTGTACATGGTGCAGTACCGAATAACTTCCTCAAAGGCTCCTTTCATAAAGTAAATGTCTTCCTGGTCCTTTAAAGGAAGGAGATAATAGACTTTATAAAAAAAAAGTACGTTTTTAAAATATAGAAGCATGTAAAGTCTTACATCTTTGATGAAACGGCTCTTT